ACTAACCAAATGGCCTTTGATAGAGTCGAGTGGAGAACAAGGATTCATGTAACCGATCCCATTTGATGGGACTTAAGGCTTGGTTTGGTTTGGTTACAAAAAAAAAATGAAAACAATTTTCTCCTCGAAATAGCAATGCCCAACCCAAAACAGGATGTTGTTCCTGCATTGGCAACACAGTTAACACAACGTCGTTTGTTGGATTCATTGGGCCTGCCGATGAAAGGTTTCCACCCTCCTTTTCTTGCTAGTTTCTTGGCAACCAAACTGAAAGGAAAAATGTAGATTGACCAAACAGACTGCAAATTGCAGAAGTGGATGCTTTGATTCCGCACAGACTGCAAATTGTAAAAGTGGATGCTTTGATTCCGCAATTACGGTTTGCCATCCTTTTCTTGAACTCTCAAATATAATTTCTCATAATGTGCTTATGTGTGTGTTGGCATTTGTGTATGTGTGTGTTTTTTACATATACATACATATGTTGTCTACTCTCTCTCTCGACCATTTTAATTTCTGGAAACCTGCTGTTGATATTGCTAATTAGCCTCATTCCTGTAGCTCTGCATTGTCATCAAATATTTAGTTGTCTTTTGCACAATTGACGTTTGTAAATATATCATGGTATAAAATTGATGTTCAAGAAATCACTGTGAATATGTATTTATATTTGTATGCAATGGAAATTAGTGTGACTTGTCAAGATGTTTTTAACTACAGAAGCATAACCACGTATTCATATCTGATGGAAGTGACATTGGTATACCACTAATTTCAAACTGAAATATTACTTAGTTTTGGTATATAGTTATAAGAAATTCTTTATTCTCCTGATCTTTTTTTGTCATTTTAGTTTTATGTAGTTATAAACCCCAAATAACTGGAATCAAGCCTTTGTTCAAGTGATTTGAGCTATGATGTATGTTGTTTTAGTAACAACATGGTTAATTTCTATGAAGAATGTTCAAGGTTGGTTGAAATGGAATCTTCTTCTTCTTCTTTTTTTTTGCTGATGATACTTGGGGGATCTTCTTCCCTAAAAATTTCATTTTTGAACTAGTAGAACACTACCTTGAATTTTCTAGAAGAGCTGTCTTGACAAGCTTGTCTAGATTTGATTTTGGCCCACTTTACAGGACTTAAGAACTGAAACCATGCCAAAAACCAATCACAATGACAAACTTTTTTCCATGGAACAGTCTTTATGTAAAGTTGGGTACTGGAAATGCTTGTGCTGAGCCAATACTTGATCAGTCTTTGTCCTACATTTTAGTTATTGACGCAGTCACGTTATAAATTAGGCTCATCAGAAAATCTAGATGCTTCTCATATCATGTTTTGGTGTTTAATTTACTTGCAGAATGTCCATGGGACTTACTGTATCTTATTATAGAGGAGAGTGCTTTGATATTTGAAACCAAATTATAAATAAATAGAAAATTTTTGAGCTCCGTGGTTTTAAGAAATAAAATGAAATCCACAAAAGTTCTGAAGTTGAAATAACTTCTATTTCTAAAATCATATTAACAACTGCGATGAACACTCTATCTAGCATCCAATATTGTTATGGTTACTTCACCATTCGTATAAAATTCTTCACTTCTTGTTGCAGTATCTGTATCAACGGAACTTCTTTCAACGAAGAAACCGGGTTGTTTAGGCTGAGGCAATATTGCTTCCTCATTTCCCAACATGAACACTACAGATGACATTGCCGGCCTGTCTTGTGGGAGTTTCTGAACACATAATAGGCCCACTTGAATACATCTCTGTACTTGAGATTCAACACATGAATCCTTCAAACATGCTTCCATTAGTTCCAAAGCCCTGTCTTCATTCCACAGCAACCATGCCTAAAGTAATTGCAAACCATGCACTTAGTTTATTTATTTTCTTCACAGAACATATATTTTGTCATCCTCAAGAAACAGTAGATATGCATCAAGTTAGATAGCCACAGGGATAGATAGATTGATATACACAGATATGTCTATAGAGAGAGATAACTATTTTATTGTTTCTAGTACTTACATGCCCTAGAAGATTGTGGTGGTGATCAGGATGATGAAAACCTCTGTTCCTTTTGCCACTCACTATTTCTAGCAAAAGCACACCCCAACTGAATACATCAGATTTCACAGAGAATTTCCCGTCAATTGCGTACTCTAGAGACATATAACCACTGCAAGAATTTGCAACTATAAAGTCTTCTGAATTTACTATGTTCCAATGACTCTTTTTGTTTTTGCACAAATTTGTTCTCCTTCAAAAATTCTTGCCAAGCCAAAATCTGAAATTTTTGGAATCAGATCATTGTCTAGCAGAATATTGCTTGCTTTGAGATCCCTGTGAATTATTCTTAATCTAGAATCTTGGTGGAGATACAGAAGTCCCCGTGCAATCCCCATAACAATGTCAAACCTCTTTTGCCAAGCCAGTAATGCACTTCTATTCTGATCTGCACATCATTTTGACCCTTCGTAAATTTTAAGATGCATTAGTGACCATGTAGGAAAGCGATATGCAGGTGACCGAACAAACCCAAAATATGAAGGGTTTAGAGGCACAAACCATAAATAAAATAATTTTAACTTTTGTTGCACATGTACTCATAGATTAACATCCTTTCTTCTCCTTGAATGCAGCATCCAAGAAGCCTGACAAGGTTCCTATGTTGAAGTTTGGCAATTGAGGTAACTTCATTCTTGAACTCTTCTAGACCTTGTCCCGAACCTTTTGACAGCCTTTTCACTGCTATTTCCTGTTCCGTAGACAATTTGCCCTGTAGGTGTCAAATATAAGGTGCACAAAAATACAATATGATCTATTCTTAACTACACGACTGAACATATCATATCTTACCTTATAAACAGGACCAAAGCCACCTTCTCCAATCGTATTTGCGTCAGAGAAGTTGCTTGTAGCAGCAGCAATAGTTGTGAAATCAAATAAAGGTAATTCCAAGCTTTCTTTCTTCCCATTTAGAGCTGTTGACAGGCTAGTCGGGTTAACCTTTTTTTTTGGGAAATTCTTTATACATGATTTTTATGTAATAGTTTAATGCTTGGGATCTATGATTTAACTCAGAAACGATTATTAGAAGAATATTTAGTGGATAAGAACGCTTACCTCTTCTCTTTGCTTTTATCTTCATTATTATGCACCCACATACTGTGCCCAAGGTAAGTATTCCTAAAGTTGCTGATAGCAGTAAGATCTTCACAAGTCTTTTCTTATTATTTGAATCATGAATTGAATCTGAAACAGAGAATATCAAGAACTGAAGTACTAGGTAAATTCTGAAACAGAGAATACCAAAACGATTCGTGCACCAAGTAACAAAGGGCTGAAGTATTGAGGAGTTTAGAAGGTTAAGAGAAACCTGGTTGATCATAGCCATGCACTAACCTATTGCTGAAGCTGGCAAGCGTATGTAGATATCTTGGTCACTATTGTCTTGGAGGCTCTCCCGGGTATCAATCAGATCCCCAAACCACATCAAACAACCACTGCCACCTCCGCTAATGTTTGAATTAGCATAAGCTATACAAGAACAGTTCTTCAAACACTCCTCCTCACATTCCTTGATGCTCATACCTATGTTTAACCGAAACTCCAACAGGTCAGGCAACTTGACCTGTACAACCTTCACATACCCTTCTCCATTCTGGCAATCTAATGGCACGCTTCTTACGCATCCAGTGGACCAATCAAGAACATCCCATTCTTGTTGGGATTTTGGAATGAACCCCTTCAAACACTCGCACAATGGTGATTTGTAGATTCTGCAAATGCCATTAGGACCACAATATCCATAACTGTCACACAGGTCACGTGGAACCGTGAACATAAGATCCCAAGTGTTCTTTTTGTTCAGTATATAGCGTTGAAGCAACCCCGACTCGTTTAGTGTTAATCTTGTAAAGACAGAGCTGTTGTATGGTTCATAGATATATATCAATCTATTGTTGTTGAACTCCAACATTGTTTTAAATGCCGGATTGTTGTACAAGGGAAGATCAATGAATGTGAGTTTTACCCCGGACCGGTACTTTTTTGTTGATCCCATTCTAAGTACTAGTTGAGGCAACCCATGATTATCAACTCTGTAAGTAAACTCTCCCGGAGATGGATCGTCAGCGCTTTTCCATGATGTCAAGTACTGATCTAGACTTGTTCTGTTGTTCTCTCCCATCTTCAGGTCAGGTATCCACATATTGCACGGGAAATCAAAGCTCTGCCATAGGAAACTATCAGAATTTGTTTCTGTCTTGCCAAACAGAACAAGATTTCCAGAATCTAAAAGCCGTGCCACAGGACCTTCTTCGACTCTTGACAGGTTAGATGACCAGACAATGCTCTGTGTTCCATTGAGAAGAACCAGTGATCTATTACCACTGATAGTCAAGACTCCTTGTAAACCTGTTATTGGATTGTTTCGGTTGGCAACCCACACAACTGTATCTGGGGTGGCTTTGTACCATATTCCCAAGTACCGGAATTTGGAGCTGCCCGGAGAGAAGAAGCCGAGCTCAAAACTTTGGCTGGTGGAAACTAAAGTGTCGCCGTCCCGAAGAGATTGGTTTGAAGCTAAGGTATCACCTGCAATGGAGAATTTCAAGAAGGTTGTGGAAAGTAGTGACGCAAAGGAGAAGAAGAAGATGAAGAAAGCTTGGCTCTCCATTGCATTCTCAAGACAAAAGAAGAGACTTCTGAAGAATGTTAATGTTGGGCATTAGTATCAGTCTGAAAAATGAACATTAGTACCACAACCGATATTGTTGTTTAATTCATTTGATTCAATGGTAGAAATAAGATTTGACAAATGCACAATTTTTTAAATTTTAATTTTTTTTTAATATGCCAAAGGTTAGTTATATACTCAATCTTTTCTCTCCCAAATCCATATTAATGTGTACTAATTGGGCTTTGTTTTTTAAACAAGAGAAACTGACCGCGATATGTCTAACTATTTTATTTATTATTTATTTTATTTTGGTTTTTTTAATAGATTTGAACACATTTTAGACATTTGGGAAAGATGTGTCTATCTTTTAGACACATGTAAAAAAGTATTAAATAAATTAACTTGGAATTAATGATTTTTAAATAAAAAAAACTTAAATTTCTACATATTTTTCTCCAATAGATTTTAAAAATTATTGTTTTTAAATTAAATATTTATATGTATATTATGTAATAATTATTTATATGTAAAATTATATATTTCACATGTGTTCTCTTGAAGAAGACAATAACATCCTCATAGTCTTGATAGAGCTGGAAATCAATTTTTTATTTGTTATTTATTTATTTTTTTAAAATTTTGTATTCTAATTTAGCATAAGCTACATTTATTGAAAGAGTTTGGATATTATTTTATTTTACTTTTATGTAAAGATAGTTTTTTAGTCAACTGTTATGTTAGTATTTAGAAAATAAAGTGTATGGTATATATTTAAAGTATCGCATCAACTTTAAATATATACCACACTTCATTTTATGGACTTTTTTTGTTTTTTTTTTTTTGGTATGAGAGTACTACATTCAAAATTAAAAATAATGTGAATGGATTACAAGGAAGAAAGAGTCCGGGTCGTGCCCCTTAGGTGGCTCCACCTCACTCCCTCTTCAACAATTTGAACCGTTTATATTATAAAGTTTGCTGAGAAGATTATTTATATAAAAAAATCAAATTAATTGAATATTGATAATTACTTTAACTAATCATGGACCTTTTTCTATTATAAGGTGGGTGTGCAAAGTTTGGAGCTAAGTTGGGGTGTTCAAAATTTGTAAGTTAAATTATTCAAATTTATGATGATTACTATATATATAATTATTGATGTGTTGGATTGAATGCCCTCATCATCATGTGAATATATTTGGTTGGGTGTTTGGGTTGCCTTGCTCAACTGACTTCTTTCTTTGTCTGGAAAGTCTATCCATACTCATAAAAGAACTGTTAGATTTTTATTTTTGGTAATCCCGTTTGACAAAACTCCTTTCAGTTGTATTTATTTTCGCACTTTTTATTTCAGTGAGGCTATAAGTTTTTAGAAGCGAATCCAACCTAAATTGTGCCTTGCAGAGAAGTTTGTGATGTTAATTCTTTCAAGATTGCCACTTCGCTGATTATGACGAGGATCGAGTTACCCGGTTAGCTCACGGGGGTCCAGGGGGCAGCGCCCCTTGGCGGGTTTGAGGGAGCGCCCAGGCAGGGTCGAGGGGCAGTGCCCCCGAAACAAAATGGAAAATTGCCTTCAAAGTTGCTTGTCCGCTCGAGCAGACATTCCCTCACTCAAGCGGAGAATCCTTGGTTCCAGAAGTTTGATCATCGGCAAAAATACTGCGATATGTTTTTTCCCGCTCGAGCGGCCATTCCGGCGCTCGAGTGGAGATTGTGGGACAGTTTTCTATAAATACGTGTTTCAGTCCAAATCTAGGATTACGCCTCCAGATCTTCTTCTTGGGTTCTAGGGTTTATATCTGGAACTATTTTGCTAGTTTTCTTTGATGTTTTTGAGTATTCAACTCATTGTTTAAGGAGGATACATCAAAGGAAGGATTGTTTGTTTGTTCTATACAAAAGAGAGAGTTGTTCTTCGGTGGATTCTGAAGAATTCGAGCCTGAAGCTTTGGTGGATTTTGGAGTGGCTCATCATCAAGACAATTTCGAGGTGAGGACGGGGCTGGAAGAGGCACATAGGGGTTGGTTCAATTTGGGCGTGGATTCGCTAGGTAATTGAGAGTATACCTGTGTAATTCCCTTATATCTTCTTAATAGATTGTTTTGTGGTTATTGCCCGTGGTTTTTTTATCACAATTGGAGGTGCTTCAAATTGTGATTTTTTCATGTTAAAATCATTGTGTCAATTTATCTTGATTGTTTGATTGGGATTGTTTTATTGCTTAAAATTGATACATAATCACAAATTAACATCTAGGGGATTTCTAGATTTTTCAATTGGTATCAAAACGAGTCATTCTATTTTTTTTTAAAAAAAAAATATTTTAGAACGAGATCTTGTTTGATTTGTGATAATGGATTCAATTCGTGAGGAAAATTCTATGGTTCGACCGCCCCTATTTGATGGATCCAATTATTCGTTTTGGAAAGCTCGGATGAGATCGTTTCTAAAATCTATTGATGAAAAAGTTTGGCAATCTGTCATGTATGGGTGGACTGAACCAACGATTACCGTTGATGGAGTAACTTTCCCCAAACCAATTGATATGTGGGACACAATTGATTACCAAAATAGTAGTTGGAATAGTAAAGCTATCAATTCTCTCTTTTGCGCTATCACACGTGAAGAGTTTAGTCGAATTTGCAATTGTGAAGTCGCAAAAGAGGCTTGGGATATCTTACAAACTATTCATGAGGGCACTTCTTCTATTAAACGCTCAAAACTTCAAAGGCTCACATCTAGTTTCAAAAACCTTTCAATGAAAGATAGTGAGACATTTGATGAATTTTATGCGAAGTTGAGTGACATTGTAAATTCTAGCTTCAATTTAGGTGAAAAAATACCAGAATCCAAAGTTGTGAAAAAAATTTTGAGATCCTTGCTCGATCGGTTCCAACCAAAAGTTACGGCTATTGAGGAGGCTCAAGATGTTGACAACCTCAAGCTAGATCGTTTGGTTGGAAATCTTCAAACTTATGAGGCACATAGGAATTTCAAAAAGAAACAAAAAGATGTTATTGCTTTTAGTAGTGCTCATAGAGTTGGAGAGGATTCTGATGAGGATTGTGATATAGATTCCAAGATTACAGCTACTTTTGTTAAACAATTTAAAAAATCTTTTTTTAAAAAAGAATCTTAATCTTTTGGAATCTACTCATACTCATAAATCTAAAGGCGAAGATAAACTCAAAATTAATTCTATAGCCAAGAAGGAGAAAGGAAAAATACAAGGGAACTCTGAAAGAGTCCAATGCTATGAATGCCAAGGATTTGGCCACTTTGCTTCAGAATGCCCCACTCGTTTGAAGAAGAAGAAAGCCCTCGCCATCACTAGGGATGATGAATCAGAATCTGATGAAGATGAAAGTGACAACGAAGATCAAGGCGAAGAGGGTCATAAACAATTCCTTGCTTTCATGGCGGCTTCCGAAACTGAAGGACAAACAGAGTATCCGAAGAGGTCGGTTGAGAATGCCACTGATGATGAATCCTCGGGAAGTGATGATGAAGAGCTTGAGCAAGCTTATGAAAAGTTGTATAAGGAATCTCTTAACTTATCCAAATTGAATGACAAACTCACTATGAAACTCAAAGCATGTGAAACTGAGAATGTCAAACTAAAGGAGGAGATTTTCGAGACTAGGATTGATGCCATCAAGATAGCTAATGATCGACAAGCTCTTTGTCCAAAACTCTTGACTTGTGAGACAGAGAGGAATGAGCTATAGCAAATCTATGCAATGTATGAAGAAAAGATTGAATCCCTTGAGATGTCTCAAGTTGCCTTGGAAGAACTAATGATCAAGAAAGAGGAAGAGCTCAAGTGTGCTATGGCTACCATTGGTCTTTAGAACAAAGGATCAAAGCCTTTAGAGGATATCATTGGGTCTCAACAAATGTCTTGTGACAAGAGTGGCTTGGCTTTGGTAATAACAAAAAGCAAAAACAGAGTACATCTACATCTCATGATACAAGAACTCAAGGAAAGGGAGAACAACAAATTCAACATACGGATGGACTTCTCAAACTTCCTAGAGTTGGTAAGGTAAAAGAAAAGAAGGTACACCCTGTACACCCTGTTTTTATTTGTCGTCATTGTGATATGCATGGTCATATTCGCCCTTATTGTTATGAGTTGCATGGGAGAATGTCTCATAGAGATGGAAGAAATTCCAACATCTCGCGGGATAGGAGACATTCCATTGGTGGTAATGAGGTTAAGGGTCATATTAGACCTCGTTATTTTGATTTGCTTGAGACCAAACATAGAGTGAGTTTGTATTTGCCTAGACCTAGAAATAGGAAGTTGGAAACTATGTCGAGACAGGTTCCCATTGAAAGGGAAGGGAACCACAATGTCAAGACACCACCCAAGAACTGCCATTCTCACAACTTTGTTCATACTAAAACGGTTTAGGTGAGAAAACTTGACTTGTGTTAATTTGTTTATTAGTTTTAGTTTTGGGGTTTCTGTATGTTTTTTTTTTTTTTTTTTTGAGTCATTTAGTGTGTGTGTGTGTGTGTGTGTTCGTTCTCTGACTTGCTTTGTTTAGGAAAAAAAAATGTGTGCATGTTCGTTTTATGTCTTGCTTTGTTTAGAAGAAAAAAAAATCCCAAAAAGATTTTCTTAGTATGGTTTTGCAAGCTTGAAATTTTTGAGTGGTCCTTGGCGCATATTGGAATTAATGAGAATATCCTTTACATGTTAATATGTGTGTGCTTTCTGTGATCATTACTCATTTCGAAGTGTGTATTCTTTGATTAGTATGTCTCATTCTGTACACACTCTTGGATTAGCAAATATCGGAGTCTTCTGCCTTAGTGATTATTTTTTTTCTATGGACTTCTGGCATTGTATCTTTTGTTTTTCTAGAGGAATTGACCTATACTATCATATCGTGGGTGATGTTGAGTCTCTTAACCACCTTCCATCTTTATGTATCTCCACGGCTTTCCTCTCTGTTCTTTGTAGTCCAGACATGAGGAAAAGGCTACCTCTGAGTCACCAACCAGGCCATCCTTATTATATCCATGCTCCTCTAGCTCGGTTTCCATACTCTTTAGCGTGTCAACCGCCAATGAGTGTGAAAAAGAAAAAAATGTGTGAAAAAGAAAGAAAAAAAAAATGTGCAAAAGAAAAAAAAAAAAAAAAAAGAGGATGTGCAA